CGCAGGAGATTTCAAAGTCACAATACGTGATATTAGAATGCAAAGCAGGAAAGGAGTAGAGGAAAAGGTCAGGTAAACTAATAAAGGGCATCCCTTCTACTGTAAGTTGCCTTACAACCCAAAAGCCCATCAATTTAGTTTTCTGCGTTGTTAAACTTCGCTCACGTGCTCTTGGACTGTAGGAGCTTCTTCCTGCACATCCTTGTGAGTGCGAATGCACAAAACGTTGGTAAAAAAGAGCAACTTTGGAGCTGAGGAAGGAGGTTTGAATGTGGGGCCACTGAGGGAAACACGCCATCTCCGCTCCCCTCCCTCAGCAGTGACAGGCAGGAAAGCGACTGCGCATCACACGCATCGTGTCACCACCAGTCGAATTTCGACCCATCTCCATGGAGAACGTCCCCACCACTAACAACATACTGCATAGCACACCAACGCAAGGTAGCAATCGCATGAGCTGGTGGACAGATACATGCCACTACATACACGACAATTAATTAGAAGTCCTGTCCCGCATGGGGCAAAGCAGTTGACTTCCACACTCTGACACTTAAAATGCCGATACTGGCAAGTGGAAGGAAGTGGTGGAAACGAACAGAGAGAGTAAGGCAGGCTTTTATGTTGGCAAACAAGCAATGCTCCCCGCCCCCCCCCCTCTTCGGACAATGTAATGCTGCACCCACCATCTAACGCCTGCGGCAGCAAGCAGCATTGCTTGCTTCATTTCATGGCCGCCTCAATTAGCCAAAAAAGCAGACGGGAAATAATATCTGGGGGAAGAAGGAAAGGAAGAAGTAGAGGAGGCACCACGATGAGGCATTTGTGAGTGCATTTTCACCGCATATCAGTTAGTTGTGGTGGCAATGCACAATACGCCTCCACTGCCGTGCGGCTGAGCACGAAACTAGGTGATGACAAATGGCAACAACAGCGCTGAATTGCATCAACCGGATTACTAAACGCACTGACTCTACAGCTGCCCTCACAGTCCACCACCGTTCAGCTCTCATCACCTTGGCCTACTATGTTTGAACGCGATGATGATCGTCCTTTCCTTCTCTCCTTCTTTCTTTCTCTCATTCCTTCGGAGTGGTCCAGACCACGGTAGCAGTGGTAGTCGAGGCTAC